ACTCGAAATGCGCGCCCCATCGAAAACCTTATTTTTCAATACTTGGATTTGTTCTTTAATAGCATCGATCTCATCCACTGGGTAAACCCCAGATGCCTCTCCCTGTGCATAACATTGTCGTAGATGACCCTCCAGGTACCTCTGAAAACCATACTCCAAGCGAGTGGCCTCCTTACACCGATTCACATAAAAATCCTTAATTCGAGGCTTCACAACCTCATCCCACCATCGTACTAAATCCCATCCCTCCCAGGAGTCTACTCCCATAGACGCTCAGAAGTCCTGGAATAGTTCCCTATCATCTGCACTTTGTAGCATCCGCGTATTCAGTTTCCAGTATCCCTTAAAACGATGCGGGAGACCTCCCCAGTCGAGCTCCACAAAAACTCCCCAGTGGTCGGAGAAAAAGACGTTCAATACACGCACACTGATTACGACCACTCGCCGAGACACATACACCCTATCTAAAGATGCTGCATAGCCCCTACGCACAAAAGTATGCTCAATCCCAAAGTCACGTCCTCTGCGTACATCAACCAACCCCAAACCAGACAACAAGTCACCCAAAACAAGGGAACAGAACCCTGCCCCCCTCGGTTCAACATCTTTACGGCGCACTACACAGTTCCAGTCACCACCTACCACTGTAATTTCTGGCAGGGACCTCAAATAATATACCAAGACATCTCTAACAAAAGTATTTTTAATATTAACATCATGTTCAGCCGGCCCATATACCCCTACAAAACCAACTCTTCTACTACCCCAATCCCCCACGACTCGCACCACGCGACCCTCCCCCCCCCTTCCTCCCAATGTCTCTGCACAAACGGGCTGGTCGCTTTTATCAACACAGCCACTCCACCTTTCAGACGTCTGGAGTGAGTCACATAAATATCATAACCATCCATCTCAAACAAACTTCCTACTTTATGGTTATGTTCTTGCAAAAAACACACATCCACTGCAAAACGATTCAACCACTCACGCACCTGCACACACTTTCTGACAGATTTCAAACCATTAACATTAATAGTTACACACCTAACTGTGTTAAAGGTGGCTTTCCTCTAGGGGCTACCACTCCCTTTTTCTCTTTGCGCCGGCAAGCACCCAAGGCACTTCCCGCACCTTTGGCAATCCCCGTGATATTACCTGCTGTCCTGGACTCGCGCGACCTCCCCCCACCCGTGATTTCCGACCACGTCTTCTTCCCTGAACGTTGTCCAGGGGTCAAGACATCATCGGAGTCGGACGGGGTAGCCGCACGCTTCCTAGAAACAGCATCTTCAAACATGTCAGTACTTGGAGTGTTCTCCTTGTGAATTTCTGCCTCAACAGTATGAAACCTCGAACTCTCCAAATCTCTCACTTTAGCTATCTGATCAGCATCATCTGCACGTAATTTCCCCCCATCAGAACACAGCACAGAATCAGACTCATGCGAAGCTAATAGGTCACTTAACGCAGATACAATGTCGGCTTCCATCTCACCTGCCTCTCTTGCTAGAGGGATTTCACTGTTCACATGTTCCACCTCGTCAAGGGAGGCAGTCCCAGGTAGAGTCACACAAGATGACTCTAGTAGCATGGCCCTATCAACCTCAGCACTCCATGATGTCATACGCGGCGAGGTCTCGACAACCTCCTCTTCCAGAGCCTGACGGGGTACCTCACCATCAGGTCGACGACCACGCCCCGATGGCGGCTGGCGCTGGACACACTGAGCCGCTATGTGATCCAGAGCGCCGCAGAGGCGGCAAGTTCTTCTCTGTCCAGGGTACGTAACGTACACCTGGGAACGAAACTCCTCGAGTTGTACGTACGAAGGAATCGGCTGACGCAGGGACATTTTCAACGTAAATGACCCCTCCTGAAGGCCATTATAGTGGCCGTCAGACCACCTACCCTTGGTGACCAGGTGGATCTTCCCATAACGTTCAAAAACGTCACGTATATCAACTTCATTGGCCTCAAAAGGCACGTTTCTCACACGTACCCACGTATAGTATCGTGAAACGTCATGCAACTGGAGAGAAACTGCTGGGGTGACTTGCTTACTTATATCCTGGTACTGGGTCACAATCTTCTCATACATCTGAGTGTCACAAAACTTGACGAAGATCCGTGTAGTTCCATTCAAGGCGACACCACACAAGGATTCACGTTGAATGCCATAAGTATCACGAATGATTGCTGGCAGTAACACATTTACTGATTCGCCGGTGATAGAGCCCTGCGTTAGTTGAATACAAACAGTATTAACACGGCGGCGAAATGCAGTCGCCATTGTTGTTGATGTTGTAAACACTCCTCCACCAGGTGTCGGGACTGAGGAGCAACAGCTGACAACCGCTCAGCACAACGTCTGAGCAGAGAATGATGAGATTCATTAATCAATCTGTGCCTATCAAGATGGCTACGAATTGCTTCGGCAATTATTAATTCAATAAATTTTCCCACTATGGAGGTAAGGCTCATTGGTCTATAGCTCGATGCCAAGGACCTGTCACCTGGCTTGTAAATAGGCATTACATTTGTCATTTTCCACTTATCAGGCACTATGCTAGTTTGTAGTAATAAGGTAAAAAGATTAGCCAAAGGTATGCTAAGTTCCTCTTTACATTCCTTTAACACCCTTGCAAACAGTTCATCAGGACTTGGGGATTTGTTAGGTTTTAGTTTCTCTATTTGTCTGAGGACCATATCACTAGTTACCGCAATCATGCATAGCTTATTATCTTCCTGTTCTACATAATCTATTATTTCAGGAATATCGCTAGTATTTTCCTTGGTGAAAACTGAGAGGAAGTAGGTATTGAGAATTTCACACATATCCTTATCACTGTCAGTGATCTGACCAGAGTCACTCTTAAGTGGGCCAATCTTGTCCCTAATCTTACTTCTGTATACCTGAAAGAACCCTTTTGGGTTAGTCTTTGAATCCCTTGTGACCTTAGCCTCATAATCCCTTTTTGTTTTTCTTATTCCTTTCTTTATTTCTCTCTTTAATTGAATATATTGATTTCTTAACTGCCCATCCCCTCTTTTGATATGCCTATATATGCCTCTCTTTTGACCAATGAGATGTCTTAATCTATTGTTCATCCATTTGGGATCATTTTTGTTAGTTCCAATTTCCCTACTCAGAGAACAAAAGTTGCTCTGAAAAACGTCATATTGGCAACGATGATCACCTACCTGGCCCATAGTCAGGGCATCCTAATTTAGCCCACCCAGGTAATTTTCCAGTCCCATGGGTCCTGAGTGAGGGAACAGAGGCACTATGTGTACCACTAACAACAATCTTCAACACATCTATTGAAACAGGGCGACTACCTAAGGTATGGAAGACAGAAAATGTAGTCCCAATTTTAAAAAAAAAAAGTCAGACACGAAGCATTAATTTACAGACCTGTGTCACTAACATGTATAGTATAAAAAGTCATGGAGAAGATTATCAGGAGAAGAGTGGCACAGCTTATCAGCAACAGCCAGTACGGTTTCAGGAGCAGGAAATCCTGTGTCACAAACCTGGAGTTCTATGCCAGGGTGACAGCAGTAAGACGAGAGAGAGAAGGGTGGGTAGATTGCGTTTTCTTGGACTGTAAGAAGGCATTTGACTCAGTTTCACACAAGAGATTAGTGCAAAAGCTGAATGACCAGGCAATGGATCAGGGAATACCTGCCAGGAAGACAACAGCGAGACATGGTATGTGGTGAGTGGGTGCCTGTGACGAGAGGTGTTCCAGAGGGGTCAGTCCTAGGACTGGTGTTGTTTTTGGTATTTATGAACGACATGAGAGAAGGAATAATCCCAGAAGAGTCCCTGTTTGCAGATGATGTGAAGTTGATGAGAATTCATTCGGTTAAGGACCAGGCAGAACTACAAAGGGATCTGGACAGGCTGCAGACCTGGTCCAGCAACTGAATCCTGGAGTTCAACCTCATCAAGTGCAAAGTCATGAAGATTGGGAAAGGGGAAAGAAGACCTCAGATGGAGTACAGTGCAGGAGGACACAGACCAAAAACCACACTGAAGGATCTTTGGGTGAGTATAACACCGGGCACATCTCCTGAGGCGCACATCGACCAAATAACTGCTGCAGCATACGGGCTCCAAGCAAACCTAAGAATAGCATTCCGACATCTCAATAAGGAATAGTTCAAGACTCTGTACACTGTGTATGTTAGGCCTATATTGGAATATGCAGCACCAATTTTGAATCCACACCTAGCCAAGCACGTAAGGTAGCTAGAGATAGTGCAAAGGTTTGCAACAAGACTAGTCCCAGAGATAAAGGGCATGTTCTACGAGGAGAGGTTAAAAGAAATCGACCTGACGACACTGAAGGATAGGAGAGACATGTGGGTTTGATAACGGCTTATAAAATACTGAGTATTTATAAAATACTGAGAGGAAGCGACAAGGTGGACAGAGACAGGATGTTCCAGAGATGGGACACAGTAACAAGGGGTCACAGTTGGATGTTGAAGGAACAGATGAATCACAGGGATGTTAGGAAGTATTTCTTCAGTCACAGTGTTGTCAGGCAGTGGAGTAGTCTGGGCAGTGATGCAGTGGAGGCAGGATCCATACATAGCTTTAAGAAGAGGTATGATAAAGCTCATGGAGCAGGAAGAGTGACTTAGTAGAGGCCAGTGAAGAGGGTGGTCCAGGAGCTGTAACTCGACCCCTGCAACCACAACTAGGTGAGTACAACTAGATGAGTACAACTAGCTGAGTACAACTAGGCGAGTACAGTACACAACTAGCATCATCAAACACAGTAAGACACAGTACACAACTAGCACCATCACACACAGTAAGACACAGTTCACAACTAGCACCATCACACACAGTAATACAGAGTACACAACTAGAATTATCACACACAGCAAGACACAGTACTCAACTAGCATCATCATACACAGTAAGACACAGTACAGAACTAGCATCATCACGCACAGTAAAACACAGTACACAGAGAAACACTTACTGAGCCACACATGTTGATGTAGTGTAGAGGTAAAAGTGTGGTGTAGTTGTGGCAGGAGACAGCCAGCATGGTGGTCACTCACCACAGCCAGGTGGAGCTGCCACAGTTTGTGACAGTCTTGTAGGAGATTCACACCTCCACCAGTAAGACAACCGACGAACGTCTCCAGGTGATTCCTGTACAGGGATAAAACACTGATGAACACTTCACTCTTACCGACTCACCGCCTACACTGTATATTACACCAAGTGGAAGTGAACAATGTTACACTGTCTATTACATCAAGTGGTGGTGAACAATGTTACACTGTATATTACACCATATGGTAGTGAACAATGTTACGCTGTATATACAATACAGTAAATGTTTACATATATACAAGTGATCTACATGGGTATAATATAAGTGATCTTACATGGGTATAATATAAGTGATCTTACATGGGTATAAGTGATCTTACATGGGTATAATATAAGTGATCTTACATGGGTATAAGTGATCTTACATGGGTATAATATAAGTGATCTTACATGGGTATAACATAAGTGATCTTACAAGGGTATAATATAAGTGATCTTAGATGAGTGTAATATAAGTGATCTTAAATGGGTATAATATGGAAGACTCAGCTTCATCACAGAAAGACACATCATAATTTACACCTGGAAGATCCTAGAGGTACCGTGCAGATGGTGCAATATTCTCACAATGATTAGCACAAGACTGGGCAGGTGGTGCAATATTTTCACAATGATTAGCACAAGACTGGGCAGGTGGTGCAATATTCTCACAATGATTAGCACAAGACTGGGCAGGTGGTGCAACATTCTCACAATGATTAGCACAAGACTGGGCAGGTGGTGCAACATTCTCACAATGATTAGCACAAGACTGTGCAGGTGGTGCAACATTCTCACAATGATCAGCACAAGACTGTGCAGGTGGTGCAACATTCTCACAATGATCAGCACAAGACTGTGCAGGTGGTGCAACATTCTCACAATGATTAGCACAAGATTGGGCAGGTGGTGCAACATCCCCTCAATGAAGAGCACAAGACTGTGCAGATGGTGCAACATCACCTCAATAAAGAGCACAAGACTGTGCAGGTGGTGCAACATCCCCTCAATGAAGAGCAGAGCAGCAATGCTCACTAAGGGACAACACAGTAACTGTCAGGGGGCCCAAGACTATTTACCTGCTTCCCAGCATACCTAAGGGAAATTACCCATAGAACCCTAGCTGTCTTAAAGACCCTTGGGTGCATTCAAGACTCCTGGCTGTCATCAAGAAACTTTTCTGTCTCAAAAACCCATGTCTGTCAAGGAGAAACCTCTCTGTCTTTAAGACCAATGGCTGTCTCCAAGACTCTAGTAGTTTTCAAGAGCTATGTCAAGGCCATTAACTATCTTCAAGATCCCTGGTTATCTTCATTATCCCTATCTGTCCTCAAGGCCCCTCGCTGTTTTCAAGACCATTTGCTGTCTTCAAGAAACCTGGCTGTTTTCAAGAACACTGGCTATCTTGAAGACCCTTGGCCGTCTTCAAGACCCCTGGCTGACTTCAAGAACGCTGGCTGTCTTCAAGACCTTTTGCTGTTTTCAAGAACCCTGGCTGTCTTCAAGAACACAGGCTATCTTGAAGACCCTTGGCCGTCTTTAAGGGCCCTGGCTGACTTCAAGAACCCTGGCTGTCTTCTAGTACCCTGGCTGTCTTCAAGACACTTGGCTGTCTTCAAGACCCCTAAATGTTTTCAAGAACAATGGATGTCTTCAAGACCTCTGGCTCTCTTCAAGAACCCTGGCTGTCGTCAAGACCCTTGGCTGTCTTTAAGAACCCTGGTTTCTTCAAGACCCTTGGCTGTCTTCAAGAACCCTGGCTGTCTTCAAGACCTCTGGCTGCCTTCAAGACCCCTTGCTGCCTTCAAGAACCCTGGTTGTCTTAAAGACCCTTGGCTGTCTTTAAGTCCCCTGGCTGTCTTCAAGAACCCTGGCTGTCTTCAAGACCCTTGGCAGTCTTCAAGAACCCTGGATGTCTTCAAGACCCTTGGCTGCCTTCAAGAACCCTGGCTGTCTTCAAGAGCTCTGGCTGTCTTCAAGCCCTCTGGCTGTTTTCAAGAACCCTGGATGTCTTCAAGACCCATGGCTGTCTTCAAGACCTCTGGCTGTCTTCAAGAACCCTGGTTGTCTTAAACACCCCTGGCTGTCTTCAAGACCCCTGGATGTCTTCAAGAACCCTGGCTGTCTTCAAGACCCCTGGCTGTCTTCAAGAACCCTGGCTGTCTTCAAGACCCCTGGCTGTCTTCAAGAACACCTGGCTCTCTTCAAGACTCCTGGCTGTCTTCAAGAGCCATGGCTGTCTTCAAAATCACTGGCCGTCTTCAAGACCCCTGGCTGTCTTCAAGACCCCTGGCCGTCTTTAAGATCTCTGACTGTCTTCAAGAACCCTGGCAGTCTCCAAGACCCCTAGCTCTCTTCAAGACCCCTGGCTGCCTTCAAGACCCCTGGCTGTCTTCAAGACCCCTGGCTGTCTTCAAGACCCCTGGCTGTCTTCAAGACACTTGGCTGTCTTAAAGAACAATGGCGGTCTTCAAGACCTCTGGCTGTCTTCAAGACCTCTGGATGTTTTCAAGAACCCTGGCTGTCTTCAAGACACTTAGCTGTCTTCAAGACCCATGGCTGTCTTCAAGACCCCTGGCAGTCTTCAAGACCCCTGGCTGTCTTCAAGACCCCCGGCTGTCTTCAAGAACCCTGGCTGTATTCCAGACCTCTGGCTGTCTTCAAGACCCTTGGCTGTCTACAAGAACATTTGCTATCTTCAAGAACCATGGCTATTTTCAAGACCCCTGGCTGTCTTCATGACCCCTGGCTGTCTTCAAGACCTCTAGCTGTCTTCAAGACCCCTGGGTGTCTTCAAGACCCCTTGCTGTCTTCAAGAACATGGGCTGTCTTCAAGACCAAATTGCTGTCTTCATGACCCATGGCTGTCTTCAGGAACGCTGGCTGTCTTCAACACCCCTGGCTGTCTTCAAGACCACTGGCTGTCTTCAAGATCCCTGGCTGTCTTCAAGAACACTGGCTGTCTTCAAGACCAATGGCTGTCTTCATGACCCCTGGCTGTCTTAAGGAATGCTGGCAGTCTTCAGGAATGCTGGCTGTCTTCAAGGCCCCCTGGCTGTCTTCAAGAACCTTGGCTGTCTTCAAGACCACTGGCTGTCTTCAAGACCCCTAGTTGTTTTTAAGACCCCTGGCTATCTTCAAGAACCCTGGCTTTCTTTAAGACCACTGGCAGTATTCAAGACCCCTGGGTATCTTTAAGACCATTGACTATCTTCAAGACCCCCAGTTGTATTCAAGACCCCTGGCTGTCTTCAAGAACACTGGCTGTCTTCAAGACCCCTGGCTGTCTTCAAGACCACTGGCAGTCTTCAGGAACTCTGGCTGTCTTCAAGACTCCTGGCTGTCTTAAAGACCCCTGGCTGTCTTCAAGAACACTGTCTGTCTTCAAGACCCCTGGCTGTCTTCAAGACCCCTGGCTGTCTTAAGGAACCCTGGCTGTCTTCAAGAACCCTGGTTGTCTTCAAGACAACTGGCTGTCTTCAAGACCCCTGGCTGTCTTTAAGACCCCTAGCTATCTTCAAGACCCCTTGCTGTCTTCAATACTACTGGCCGGCTTGAAGACCCCGGGCTGTCTTCAAGACCTCTCTGTTTTCAAGACCCCTGGCTGTCTTCAAGACCCCTGGCTGTCTTGAAGAACACTTGCTGTCTTCAAGAACCCTGGCTGTATTCAAGAACCCTTGCTGTCTTCAAGACCACAGGCTGTCTTCAAGACCCCTGGCTGTCTTCAAGACCCCTGGCTGTCTTCAAGACCTCTGGCTGTTTTCAAGAACCGTGGCTGTCTCCAAGACCCCTAGCTGTTTTCAAGACCTCTGGCTGTCTTCAAGACCACTGAATGTCTTCAAGACGCACTGGCTGACTTCAAGACCCATGGCTTCTTAAAGAAAACTGGTGGTCTTCAAGACCTATGGCAGTCTTCAAGACCTCTGGGTGTCTTCAGGACCTCTGCCTGTCTTCAAGACCAATGGATGTCTTCAAGACCTCTGGCTGTCTTCAAGAACACTGGCTGTCTTCAGGACCTCTGCCTGTGTTCAAGACCACTGGCTGTATTCAACACCCCTGACTCTTTTCAAGACCTCTGGCTGTCTTCAAGAACCATGACTCTCTTCAAGACCCCTGGCAGTCTTCAAGACCACTGGATGCCTTCAAGAACCCTAGCTAGCTTCAAGACCCCTGGCTGTCGTCAAGACCCCTGGCAGTCTTCAAGAACCCCTGGCTGTCTTCAAGACTCCTGGCTGTCTTAAAGAACCCTAGCTGTCTTCAAAATCACTGGCCATCTTCAAGAACCCTGGCAGTCTCCAAGACCCCTAGCTGTTTTCAAGACCCCTGGCTGTCTTCAAGACCACTGGCAGTCTTCAAGACGCCCTGGCTGTCTTCAAGACCTTTAGCTCTCTTCAAGAACAATGGCGGTCTTCAAGATCTCTGGCCATCTTCTAGATCTCTGGCTGTCTTCAAGAACCCAGGCTGTCTTCAAGTCCACTGGCTGTCTTCAAGACCTCTGGCTGTCTTCAAGACCCCTGGCTATATTCAAGACCAATGGCTGTCTTCAAGACCCCTCGCTGTCTTCAAGACCCCTGGCTGTCTTCAAGAACTCTGGCTGTCTTCAAGACCTCTAGCTGTCTTCAAGACCCCTGGGTGTCTTCAAGACCCCTTGCTGTCTTCAAGAACACGGGCTGTCTTCAAGACCAAATTGCTGTCTTCATGACCCCTGGCTGTCTTCAGGAACGCTGGCTGTCTTCAACGCCCCTGGCTGTTTTCAAGAACCCTTTCTGTCTTCAAGACCACTGGCTGTCTTCAAGATCCCTGGCTGTCTTCAAGAACACTGGCTGTCTTTAAGACCAATGGCTGTCTTCATGACCCCTGGCTGTCTTCAGGAATGCTGGCAGTCTTCAGGAATGCTGGCTGTCTTCAAGGCCCCCTGGCTGTCTTCAAGAACCTTCTCTGTCTTCAAGACCACTGGCTGTCTTCAAGACCCCTGGCTGTCTTTAAGACCCCTGGCTATCTTCAAGAACCCTGGCTTTCTTTAAGAAAACTGGCAGTATTCAAGACCCCTGGGTATC